CCCCCCCACTTCCCCCCCTGCCGGACCCAACACACACACACACCCGTGATGGCCAAAGACCCTACCAATATCGACCGGGGAAAGCAAGCCCTTATCTCAGTTCGTTGGCACTCAGCGTGCGCAAGCGGTCCGTGGGGATTGAGCCCACGACCTCCTGAATGCCAATTGCGTGACTAACCAACTGACCTACCGGTAGGCCACGTGCTCAGCGAGGCCCCTAGTGCAGGCCCGACTCTCCCCCGGGCCACCTCAACAAAATAGCCGCGCGCAATGCGTTGTCTCACACCATCGCGTGCACACGCGTGGTATAGTGCCTCGTGTTGCCGTGTGCTGTGGCGGGTTCGGGCGTAGGAGCCACACGGCCAAGCAGCGACGATGCCTGGTTCTATCTGTACGGTTGTCAGACGGCCTTCGTCTCGCGCAGCTCCTCAGTCTTTGCTGTGCCTCGTCCCGGACACAAGTGGTTAACTGGATCGTCATCATCGTACGGTTGGTGAGCCCCGTCGCCCTTCCCTTCTACTCTCCTCTCCCGTCCGCCTCTCCCTCTACTCCGTCTGTCTTCCTCCTTGCCTCCCCCTCTATCATCATCGTCCCCCTTTCCCGAAAATAAAAATAAGAATCATCGTCCCCCGAGGGCTCTACGGACGGCTACTCTGTTTTTTCCTCTTCTGTTTGAACTCTTCTTCCTTTCTCCCCTCTGTCCTCTGCCTCATCATTCTCTGGTATCCATGTCTCCTCCTCTCGACGATCGATCCTCTTTTTTACAGCTTCGATGACCGACAAGATTGGTCGAAGCTGGATTATAATAATGGAGTATAGGACAAAAATGTGGGAGAATAAATGGCGAAGATTCGCATAGCACGTACAGGAGACAAATCGAGGATGACACGGCAATAGGCTGATGGGTTGTCATGGAGGAGGAGGGGGGGGGAGGAAAGGGGAAGGAGGAGGGGGAGGAGGAGGAGGACGGGGAGGAAGAGGAGGATTGAAAGGGGAGGAGGAAGAGGTTTGAGAAAGGGGAGCAAGAGATAGCTTGCTGCGGCTGTGTTTGGGCTACGGGCAGGGGTAGTGCGTGGCTCTAATTTCCACGGTTATCACACATAGTCGCCGCTAGGGTTATGAGGGCTCTACCCGTCTTCCCGCGAACACAACATACCCTCGTCATGACAGTACCGAACCGGAAAGATGTTTGTATTCATTCATAACCGGGGCGCGTTCTGTTCAGGGGAAGACGGTGGTGAGATCGTAGGGAATACTGTTCCTCCTTCACCTTCTGTCCTGATGCTCTCTTCTCCCTCGTCGTGTTCTGCTTAATTCCCCACTCCTCTTCCCCTCCTCCTGCTGCTGCTACGTCTTATTCAGCCCATGTCGGTTGTCGCTGTCTCCCTCACCCCCCTTTCCGGCTCTTCACATTCCCTCCTCCTCTTCCTCCTCTTCCTCCTCTTCCTCCTCTTCCTCCTCCTCTTCCTCCTCTCCGAAGCCCCATCTTCTCTCATCCCCTAGATTATTATCTCTGGGATAGCAGGTCGATAACTTACAAAAGCGGGCTAAACCCGATTGACACCCAAGTAAGGAATATTGCACACAAGGAGAGGGAGACACGAGAGAGATGAAGAGAATTACAAGTCATGGAGGAGGAGGAGGAGGAGGAGGAGGAGGTGATGCAGGGAACGTGGAGACAGTTCGATCCGGTAAACAGTTGTTCTCAGCCCGCACTCTGTTTACGCTGCCGATGTTACGGGTACAGGCCAGGAGCCGCACAGTCAGCTTCTGGCCGTGGTTCGCATAATTGTGCACGGTTATCACATATCGCCCCCACCAGCGATGTGACCACGATCAGCAGTGGTCCTCTTCGACACTTTCCGTACCTCCTTCACCTTCTCCACCTCCACCACATGCTCCACGTCCTCCCCACCTCCTCCACCTCCTTCACCTCACCCACCTTCTCCTCCACCTCCTCTACCTCCTCCACCTCCTCCACCTCCTCTACCTCCTCCACCTCCTCCACCTCGTCCACCTCGTCCACCTCGTCCACCTCCTCCACCTCCTCCTCCACTAGTTGGCTGGAGGGCTGGTCTCTGACGCCAGAAGTAGCGCGTTCAAATCCCGTTTTTCGCCGGAGGTATGGCGGAGTGGCTGAAGGCATTGGTCCATAGTGCCGGAGGTTCAAATCCCGTTTTCCGCCGGAGGTATGGTGCAGTGGCCTAAGGCATTGGTTTGCTTTTCTCCCCACCAATAGAATGGAGCTAGTTAAAAAAAAAAAAAAAAAAGGAATCGGATCCCATTCCCTCCGTTTCTCAGGGTCTATATTCCAAGTGGTAGACCGCGCCGCATGTTTTGCAAGTAGGTAAGGTATCGGCTCAAGTGCGATCGTCTCCAATCAACTATCTCCGTGAGCCCACATAGCTCCTACACCTGCGTACGTGCTTTCCTCCACCTCCGCGATCTCCTCCACCTCCTCGACCTCTTCCACCTCGTCGACACTCAATTGCTCGCTCGACCTCTTGTCCACCTCTTCCACCACCTGGACCTCCATGAACTGCTCGGCCTGCTTTTTTGCCTCCACCTCCCCATTTCCTCGACCACCACCTCCTCCTCTTCCTCAACCACCTCCCCCACGCTCTCCACCAGCACCTCCTCCACCTCCTCCACCTCGTCGATCTTATCCATCCTTTGCACCTCCTCCACCTCACTCCTGTCCACTTATCTTCCTCTCCTTCTCCTCTTCCGTAGGCAGGTAAGGTAGTCGTCTCCTCCTTGAAACGTCGTATCCTACTCCTTTCTTCCTCTTGCTCCTCCTCCTCAACCGTTTTTCATGTTCTGTGTTCTCTCGTAACCATTTTTTTTGGTCACCTTGTCCTCTTCCTCGTAACCGTTTTTCATCTTCGTTCCATCGCCGGCTTCATTTTCCTCCTCCTCCCACTTCCTTTTTGTTCTCGTCGTTCGCCTGCAGTTCTTCTCTTTTGTTTTATCTTCTTGTGGCTCTTCTCCTCGATGGTGTTCTGGGATAGGAGGTCGGTGACGCCGTAGACCGGCCGAGTGTTGTGATGATGATGGGGGCAGGCGCCGCTCAACCTACATCCACGTGGGCGGCCTTGTACGCAAGAGGTTTGGAACAGGGGGAGTTGTAAGTAAGAAGGTGAAAAATGAATTGATTTTTTTTTTTTTTTTCGCTTTTGCGTTCTGATATCTTTGTGACGATGTATTATCCAATACATAATGTTTACATACACTGTGTGTCGGGGAGGGATAACGACCGACGACGCGCGCGAGCGCGGGGAAGACTATTTCATTGCCAGACGGAGGAGATAAGGCGATGGTGGCTTTGGGGGTTCGCGCGGGGGGACCAGGGGCGCTGCCTTCAGTTACTCTTCCCCTCCTGCACCCCGCCTCATCCCCCCTCCTACCCCCCTTCTAGAGGAGAGGAGGACGGGGATGAGAAGGCTGACGTGGAGGGACAAGGAATGGGGAGCTGGCAAAGAGGAGGAGGATGAGAAGGATGAGTGGCCGTTGATTTGTAGGTGCCGTAGGAGAGGAACCAAGGGTTATAAGAACGACCTGCCGCGGTGACGATCTCACGAGATATTGATGGGAAGGTGGTAGTCCGTCTGGGAAGGAAGGAGATGTCAGCGCGGTTCATGCCTGAAAAGGAGGGTAGAGGGTTGGGGGGGAGGGGGGGGGGCGGAGGAGGAAGGGAGGGAGGGTTGAATAGAGAGAAATAACCTCCCCCTCCCCCCCCCCAACCCTCCAATTGAGCACCTTTGGAGGGCATTTTGACACTGAGAAAAAACGATCGAGTCATCTAGGACCGCACCTGACTACCATCTTGCCCCCGAATAGAACGCACGGGTATTATAGCCGCTTTTAGACTGAAAAAGTTGCACCGAGTAAAAAGGCCATTATTGACCGTGCGTTCTATTCGGGGGAAGGCGGTAGCGTGGTGTTTTCCTTGATCTCCTCCCCCTTTTTGTTCCTACCGCCTGACCGTGCGTTCTATTCGGGGCAAGGCGGTAGCGTGGTGTTTTCCGCTACTGCAGGCGTCTTTTTCGCAAAATTGCGAAATCTGCTACTACTCTGAGCGTCGCCTGACGGGACACGAAACGAAAAACGAGACGAGTGCATCTTCCTGCAGAAAATGACCAGGTTCATCGTTTTGCTATAAATAGTAACGAGTGTATTTTGCCACCTTTCGTGAGCAGATGCACTCGTTTCGTTTTCGTTTCGTGTGCCGTGCGGCGAGACCCTCTGTTGCAGTCATGCAATGCCCCCCCCCCCTCCCCCACCTGCACGGAGCAATTTGCAAGGACCTGTAGCGGTCCTCTCAAATTCTCATAAATTCGCATTTGCTTTTCTGGATGAAGGGCGAGATCCCACTGGCAAAAACGATTGGAATAAGTGTCTGAATCTGGACATGTTTGTGGACAGGTGCAAAAAAACTATTGTAATTGATCTGCTTTTCTGCATCTCTGCCTGGAACATGTCCTGATTCAGACACTTGTTCCAATCCTCTTTGCCAGTGGGATCTGCTCTTGAGAACCAAAAAGAAGTAAACCTCGGTGGGCGAGAAAACTCAATTTGCTTGCGTACTAAAGTCCAGAAAAAAATAAAAAATAAAAAATAAAATCTGCGATCAGCTGTGTGACCACGCAGATAGCAGATGGAGCAATTTTCAGAAAGTCTCGGCCATGTGTCATTCAATCAAAAGGGCCACCGTGTGTGAGAGTCTGCCGCCGCACACCTACTTCTCAAAATCGCGGAAGCAAAAGTGCAGATTTTGTCTGCAATTTTGCTCAGTGTGTGTGAGTTTGCCTTATACGACTGATGGGAAGGAAAAAAAAAAAGACTGATGAGGCCGGCTTGTGCGGCTGGCAAATGCCACAAGGCAATGACCATGCCTGGCGGGAATGATTTTATAATCCCAATCATAAACATATATATCAGGGGGTTAGTTCATTCGGGACTCTTCCTGTTGGTGGCGCGACAGGCACAGCACCGCTTCCTTCTCTTCGTTCACGGGGCCGTAATCCCCCTTTCTCTAATCGGCAACGCGTTGACTGGCTTTCCCATTATCGCTGGAATACTGATTTGTATTCTGCGGGAACGTGGCATAAAAAGCAATTGCGCTGTCTACATACTGTCACCGCAACTGAGCGCTTTGAATTACAGCTGAGAGGTATCGACCAGCAGCTGCTCCAGCCAGGCAATGATCCGCTTTCTGTTACTGGAGTTGTTTACGCTGTTGTGCATATACCCTCTGGGCGTCTCTCTGTTGGCCAGACAATCCATACTGCTCATCAATGTTTGAAGGAGCACTGGCACGTGCGATATACTGCTGTTGATTATCGTCATCGGCATCTCTATCACGTCATGCGACAACAGTCTCCCTTCAATTTTGCTGTTTGGCCGCTTGAATGTATTGATCGTGCGCTCTACATTACTGATCGCGGTGAGATTGATCATGCCCTCTTTCGGCGGGCGGGCGGCGTCGCCTAGAGAGGCTTTCTGGGTCCGACGGCTGCGAACCTTGCACCCTTCGGGCTTCAATGCAGTTTTGCCCATGTCTCGATTACCGCCTCCTCGACGGCAGCCATGCCCCGATAGCTGGCGGCAAGTTGGTCCTTCCTCTGCTGCTTCTCATCATTGTGCCGGTTCTCCTCACCCGTCTCCAACTGGCGTCTCCTCTCGGGCCTTCACCATTGATATTAGCCCGGGCCCTCAACTTGCAGTACGAACAACGTTACGGCGGTTATTGACATTAGGCGCAGTGGGTTCTTGGTCCGAAGTTGTTGCTTCCATTCAGCATGCTACGCCCGCCGCTTGGCGAGCTCGCCTGCTGCAATGGCTGTATATAAATGTTTCTAATACAGATATGACTGCGGACGTCCGTGAACTTGAATGCCTTATTCGGCGATTTCAACACGTCCGACAACGATATACTGCTCATTCCCGTGACACCTTCGGAAACTTCATCAGGATTGTGCATATGCATGAGATCCTGAAGGCTACTAAGTTGCGCCATGTGTTGCATTCTCCGGATGTGTGTGCATTACACCCCGACCCCCAGGCAGCTAGCAGCATTCGCATCTGTGACAAACTCGTGCCCACAACAAGGGTACAATTCTGTAATTTTACGGAAGTTGCCTTGAGTGTCACTCCGGACCTGTGCCTACCTGCTGCTGMTGATTGCCCTTGTCGTCGGGCGCGTCCTAACTGCACCGATCTGGTTGACGGCCAGGTTGTTTCCGCCTACTATGATCTGATTCCGGATGCTAACCTTCGTCGCCTGTTCTATGAGAGCTCAAAATATCGGCTGAATGGGGTAGTGGGAGATATACTTGAAGCATTGGCTGTTGGTATTGATGAGTATATTGCTGCGTATCTTCGTCCGACAGCACGACAATCCTGTGCTGCTACCCTAGGCCCGCAATTGGCTCTCTGGCGTGCTGCAGTCTTGCGTCACTGTGAGTGCAATATGACTGCCGCGTCACCATTGCGACAACCTCGCTCTTTGCAGCACGTGCATACGGCCCTGCGTCAGCTTCAAGAATCCTTTGCGATTGTTCCTGTGGGCAAAACATCACATAATTTGGCTATTTGCTGTAAAAATTGGTACCGATTCAAACTGTCAAGCCACCTTGACAGTCCTACGTATTCTCGGCCTGCTGAATCAGTGGCTGACATTCTGAATAGCCATGCAGTTTGGAACAATCATTGGAATTATCCTCATGCTGACAGATTGCCGTATCTCTATTGTGTTCTTAAGGCCCATAAATCTCCTCCCACACTCCGTCCTATTCTTGGTATCACTGCCCGAAACAATCTTTCTTCTTCCTCTTCCCATACGGCCCGGCGGAGTGACCTGCACCCTTCTGAACGAGTCCAGCGTTTGTATCACCGACCACCTCACAAGCCGGTAGCTAGTACAACGCCTACTTCGGCTCGTTCGAGTACAGCACTTCAAGGCGTCATCAGTACTCTTCGCGAAAAAGATAATCAACTCTTTCGAACCGAAGGTATTCGACGATGTTGGATTGTTCAGAGCAGTGACGAGGTCATGCTTGACGTCAAAAAGAATAAAGCTTCTCTTAGAGGTCTGGCCCCGCATACAGTTGATTTTACTACTATGTATACTAATCTTTCTCATCAACGAATTCTTGACAATGTTGCTAATGCCGTKGAYGAGGCGCATGCCTACGCTCTTGCACAGGTACGGCAGCATASASAGACACGCTCATCGGGTGTTGCTCTTCGTATGCTGGTCCGTGGACCCCGTGCAGGGGAATGGACTACGGATACGGGACCTGACACTCTTTCTGTTTCTGACATTCTTCAACATCTTCGGTTTATCGTTACAAATACAT